TCTCAGTGACATGGAAGGTGGGCACTCCCACGGGGGGTGTCGGGAAAAGGCGCTGCACAGATGGCAGTGGGGGAGGGGGGACTCCTCGGGAACCTGGGGGGGCGTTTCCTGGAGGCAAAGTTCTTCACACCATGAGGTCACTGGCCCCAGGTCCAAGGGTATTGTGGACCCTGTTAACACTGACTCACTGACTGCTGGCCAGTGGAGGCAGAGGTGGGAGGCTGGGCTCCTCACCCCCACAGTGGGCCTCCCCACTACAGGGGAAGAGGTAAGCAGGGGGACTTCCCCAATGTTCCAAGAAAACACGACCAGTCATGGCTGATTTCCAACCTTAGACCGGAAGCCTATGGGCTTAAGGGGCTGGGGTCTTCTGGACTTTCCACTCCTCCCCTGGTCCTTCTGGTGTGGGGCTGAGCTGGGATCCAAGAGATTGGTGTTTTCCGTTTGGTGGTTCAAGGCTCGGGGACGTAGCCCATGCTCACTGGGTACTTCACGGGTGGAGCTGTCTGAAGCACATTCCCTTTGACTGCCCTGGTACTGAAGGAATGGAAGTGCAGAGAGGCTCAGTACCTCACCCAAGGTCACACAGCAAGCAGGGAGGGAAGCTGAAGTTTAAAATCTGATCTTTCCAACTCCAAATCCCGTCCCCGGCCCATCCTGCCATGACTGAAGCACGGTGGTTCTGATTTCGAGACACACTCCAGTTCCAGGAAGGACACGTGACACGGTGCAGTGATGGAGAAAGAGAGGGACAGGAACCCTGGCAGGAAGCCCTGACACCTGGAGGTGCCAGAGGGAGGTTTCTCAGAGGAGCTGGCCCTGGAGCTGGCTTGGGGGGATGAGGGTCTGACCAGAGGGCATTCTTGGGAGAGGGAGGACATGCCCAAGGGCACGGAGGTGGGGATGGATGGGGAAGAGTGAGTGGGCGGGTGACCAGCACAATGAGTCAAGGACCCAGATGGTGACTGGAGCTCCCCTGGGAAGAGCCCGTGAGGCTTCCCGCTGGTAGATTTGAAAAATATTTAAATTGAGTTGAAAGGAAAACTCAAATAAATGGGTTTAAGCAGCACCATGAATAAAGGTGAACCATTGTACTTGAAGAATAAAAGTTACACAGAATACATAATAATAAAACAAGGTCATTCAGTGTCTAACAGGTATGTCAAGAGCCTGAGGGTCAGAGCAGAAGCCCCAACACCTCTAACCACAACCCTTTAAGGCAAAAATAGAACAAGGAGAGAAACGACATTGAAGAGTGAATGTCTGAGAATATTTTAGAACTTGCAAATAAATGCCTCCACAGATTCTGCAAACAGAGATTCTACAAAAGAGAACAAATAAAACAGAATTCATAGATGCATCATAGAGAGTGGCGTAAAACATAAAGCTAAAGAGATTAGTTGGCAATCAGACTATTAGCCCACTTTTCAGTCACACAGAAACTAGGAGACAGTCGAATGACATCCTAGAAATAGAAATGCTGAGGGAAAATTTGATTGTTAACAAAGCTGGGACAAGACTGTGTACCTGCCAAAATGATCTTTGAAGAAGTACACAATAAAAACATTTCTGAATGTGCTTGCCTCCTAAAAAATAATACCTAAAGGAAGTTTCAAGATGACCCCCAAAGGGGAGGTGTATTAGTTTCCTATTAGCTGCTGTAACAAATTACCACAGACTTAGTGGCTTAAAACAATACAAAGTTATCTTCTAGTTCTGCAGGTGTGACATGAGCCTCATTGGGTTAGAGCTCAGGTGTCACAGGGCTGGTGGAGGCTCTGAGAGTCTGCTTGAGACCACCCAGTTCCTTGGCTTGTGGCCCCTTCCTCCATCTTAAAAGCCAGCCATGGTCACTGAATCCCTTTGGTCACTCTGAGCTCTTCTTTACCTCCCTTTTCCACTTTTACAGACTCAGAGGATTCAATCCGGCCCATCTAGGCCATCAGAATAAGCTCCCCATTTCAAGGTCACCTGATGAGAAGCCTTAGTTCCACTTATAATCTTAATTCCCCCTCTACCCTGTGACATGACCTAGTCACGGCCCCCAGGGGAGAGGGTGTGGCTCTAGGAGGTGTGGGAGGCGTTTTTCTGCTTCCTGAAGGAGATCTGGGAAGTGAGAGAGAAGGGGCGCCCATGTCAAAACCAAGAGGGAAACTCTGAACAAAGCTCGTCTTGTTTGGAAAAAAATGTCCAAAAATCTAGAACAAGGATAGAATTAAAATGCCATTCAAATGCCATTCAACAGTAATGTCTAGGTTGAGAAGGAGATGAGTGGAGTTAAAAACACTCTTAACCATGTATCGGGAGAAGGAAAATCAGACATTCGTAAACCTCAGACTCTCAAAAGTCAAATATTTATGGCAAAATTTCACAGTAATTTTTTTTTTCTATACAAAGAATATATAACCCATGTGGAAGGGGGTGGGGTAGAAATAGGATCATATTAAGTGCCACATGCCAGGGGTGTGCTGTGGCTGCACCAGCTCTGCTCCTCTCTGTTCAGTTCTTCCTCCTCCACACCCACACAGGTTGGAACCTGCTGTGTCTCCCCCAGGAAGGCCATGCGTGCTGATCTCTGCTGCACGCTGATCCTCCCTGCATCCTGATCCCCACAGCATGCTGATCCCCCCTGCACGCTGATCCCCACTGCATGCTGATCTCTGCCGCATGCTGATCCCCCCTGCATCCTGATCCCCACTGCATGCTGATCCCCACAGCATGCTGATCTCTGCCGCATGCTGATCCTCCCTGCATCCTGATCCCCACAGCATGCTGATCCCCACTGCACACTGATCCCCACTGCACACTGATCCCCACTGCATGC